ACATTTTAGGGCAATATCTTTAATTTTAAATATAGTTTAAAATTGTGCAACAACCAGATTTTCTTTTGGTGAAGGCGTAACAACCAAATTAGTTGGGAGACTTTCTAGAATTGGAAATTCAAATTATTAAATTCCTGAAATTTGACCCAAAAAAAAGTTTTAATTGAAATTTGAATATTAGGGTTTGGGAAAGGTCTTACAAATAAGGAAAACTAATGAAAAGGGCTTGAAAATTTTGAGTTTTAATGATAAGGATAAAATAAAGGGTAAAGTGAATAGTATTAGGATTGACTTTTTAGTGTAAAAATGTGATTTTTCGTTAAAATGAACAGTACTGGGTATTTTTTGTTAAAGTTCCCTTAAAAATATTCTTTTTTTTGGGGCATAAGACTTAAAAGACTTGGACCAAAAGCCAGGTCGACTGAGCGGACAAAACGAGATTTGCAGGGGTTGGGGGGTGTTGGTTTCAAAGTTTGACGCTTGTTGCCGCCACCTTATTTTCTCGCGGTGGAAATACCCTTGTAATTTTCTTGGTTGTTTTCATGGTGGTTTCCTTTCTTTTAAATTTAGGTAATGATGGATGAAGGTCTTCACTTTTCACTGTGTACTTAGTGTTTTTTGGTGCGTGTGGTTATGGGAATAATAATTCATTAAGAAAACAATTATAATCAAAACCTTAATAATTTTGTTTAATGTAGTTTTTATGTTCGTTGGACTCAAATTTCAGTTACAAATATAGGCTTTAACTGGCTGTGTTCCAAGAATTCACTACCCGTTTTTACCAATTATTTGATTGTGTAATTATGTGAATTTAAATTGTAATTGAATTACCATTGTTTGCCTAATCATAAGAGAATCATGCCAAATTGCCCATCCATTCCCCATTGAACATGGTAAATTGGGTTGTTAGTTTCTGTTACAATGAGATCTGCCCCATGAGAAGTGGATGGCTGCATGTGAGCTAAAGTTGTCAATACTCATTTTATGAAACGGGTATTTTACATGTAAGTTCATGTGTCAATCATGTGATATAAGAATTCGTGAGTAAAAGTTGTTCGGTGAAAATGTTGAACTAGTCTTCACATTCTGCAACGAAGATAATTTGTACTTAAACATTTTTGCACAATACACACTAGACTTTGAAAATCGGCCTAGGCACTGATCAGTGGGATTACGTGGCGATTTTGGGCAAAACGGTCAATAAATCAAAGACGAACTAGGTGGTTCTAAGAAAATCCATAAGCTCTCGCGGTGGCGGCCTGAAATTGCTTGGGGACAAGGGAAAAGTGGGCAAGGCACAATAGCCGCTGGGGGAGGAGGAGGAAGAAAGAGAAAGTAAAACTTTGAAAATCATAAAACCTGACATAGTATTAGTTATCCATTTAAATGAAACGGGGTGTTCCACCTTTTCTTTTCTTCTTTCTTTTATTTTTTTTTCCCGTGTGTTTGACTTTTTTGTTATGTTTTTTTTTCTTTTTTTTTTTAGTTTACTCTTTGCCCCTGCTTTTTATTGTTTTTGAAAGTGTATATATATACAGATTACAATATACTTCAATGAAATAATTTCAAAAATAAATAGCAATAAAATGAGACTTTTTATACTAAAATTATCTTAACATAAGCAACAAATATAAATTTTATTTTATCTTTAAATAGTATAAATATGATACATATAAATTTACTTATATTTAAATAATATTGTATATGTATATACTTAATTCCGCTGTCGGATTAAAACATAGCGTTTTATAGAATCTTGATTGGATGATTGAATGAGTGTGTCAAACGAGTGTACCAAATACCTCAAGTACAATCAAATGTGCAACCAAAAATCAAAGAGCATTGCCTCGAAGAGGTAAAAGCGATGGGAAAGAAAAAGTGAAAAAATAAAATAAAATAAAACAAACGTATGAGCTGGGTTGGTACTTGGCATCTCAAAGATAGCACATATAGCATAATATGTACACATTTAGGACTATGAAAGGTAGCTAAAGGTGAAAAGAAGATTGGGACCATATAACAAGAATTCCGATTTCATTCAAGGGTCTTTGAAAGACTCTGTTTGTACCAATTAATGTGTCAAAGGAAGCAAATAATCAAAACTCAGCACTCCAAAAGAGAATCCATTTTGCAATTTGCATTGCCATGTCTAGCACCAATCTTCTGTATAACTAAACCAGAAGACTAATTTTGTTTAATTTTTAGGCTAAAATAAGAAGAAGAAAAAGATCTATTTTTTCTCGATTTATGCGTTAATCGTATTCATATTGTTTCAATTTTAGTAGATATCCCAAAAGGAACATGCCTAATTGCCTCATAAACACCCTAATTTTTTCCCTGGAAGTCACAGGAACTAGTAGTTTCCTAAGATTTCATAAATGTCAAGGGAGCATATGTGATGCTTCTATTTTGAGAGTCATGTCCCTCTCATCACCAAAACAGGTGTAGTTTGTGTTGTTAATCACTATTATTTTTTAAAAAGACTCATAAGCTTAAATTTTCTTTTTATGTTTTTTATTCCTTTTAATTTTTTGCTGCAAAACCATCATTAAATATCTGTTTTTCCACCTAAATAATTTTTAAGTACTTTGAAGAATCTTCTTTTTCTCCTTTTTAATTCAGAAACCCTGACAAAAGTTCCCACCACAACGTTATAATTCTTTACTATATGTGCTTGCATATGCATGCTAGGTATATATGCCTTAACAAGGAAAATTTTGGTTGTACCTAATTGGAATTGGGAGGTGAAAAGTTAAGGTCATCTAGTTGAGAATATTATAAAAATTAGTATTAATAATTAATTCCATAATTAATCATTCTGATCCTGCATAAAAAAGAAGCTGTGTCATAGACTCATGGTGACTACTATAAAAGGCAGGACTGTGGGAGCCAAAACCCATATTTTATGACAAATAAAATATTGAGAATATTTCTTGTGTGAAACACTCTTTTATTTCGATCAGATTGAAAGTCCTGGCAATATTTTTATCGAGACCTACTTATGCACCATTTCCTTCTTTTTGTATGTATCTTTGTCATCTTAATGAATATCATACTTTTTTCAAAATATATATATATATATATATATATATTTGTGCATTCATGATGTATGTATATTTAAAAAAAAAAAGGAATCAACTGGTGGTTTCGTCATGGCAATCCATTTTTTTGAGGGCTGGGATAACTCATAGAAGCATTTTAGCCTCTCACTGGCCACCATCGTGTGATCCACACATGCTAGGAATTGAATCCAAGACGTACCATGTGAAATACAGGTTTAAAATTCATTTTAAATTACTAAACCACTCTGTGATGGTTATCATGTATATATAATATCAGCGAAAAGATGGGCATTTTGGCTAAATCGATGAGTCTAACTTGAAGACCTTGAACTAATAAGCAAACGGATTTTGGTCTCTCATAATTCTGTAGTTTGAAGGATTATTTAGAAAAATAAATGCCAAAGACTTCAAAAGTCACAATCAAGCATTGACCAGCTCCCTTATTCGTTCAATAAAGTAGTGTTCAAACAGACGTGTTTAATTAGGTCCATATATACACTTGACATCCGTATTGGCTTCTTCTTCTCCCATTACCAGAAGCAACCTCATTTTCTCCAAATGGCTTCACTAGAAAGCACCTAGACCTCTTTCCCCATCCATCATTTTCTTTGTCATCCCCCACCTATTTTATATGCTTCAATCTTTAACGAGAATCCAAAAACTAACAAATTGTCCTAGGAAAAAGTTATTGTGTTTATTATCAATTTACATAACCAGTAACGTAATATATCATATAATTTGACATCTACGTGATTTAAAGCAGTAATTTTAGTCTATGACATAATATATCAGATAATTTGACGAGCGATCAAATTCCATGAAAAAAAACACACCAATATTTTTTCTTTATTTTCAAAATATAGCAAATTAACTAAACAAATATCTTAATTATCTTTTCTTCTCAAATGCCAAAAGCTCTTTGATTTGGAATATTCAAATTCCAACCCACGAGTGCATGCGGGGGAGAGTTGGTCGTAGAAACTACAGAATACTAAAAACTATAAAGTATACAAGGGCATGTCATTTGCCTGAAATGCCCATGCTACCATGCACAATAATCCCAATTTAGTAAAGTTACATTGTGATTATGTATAATTTGAGTGTCATACACCATTATTCATCTTGAAATGTGATTCCATGTCAGATTAAGATGAAGAAAAGAAAAAGGCGATTCGATTTTGTATTATTTATAGAATTAATTTTTTTAATTCTAATGAGGCACCATGTGGCTTTTTTTTGGAGTATAGTGACCTGTCTCTCCCTTTTTATAAATCATTTTTAAAATATAATCTTGATCTACAAATTAAAAAATATGTAAATTATGTCATCTTGAATCTTGATCTGTTATTTTTATCCTGTAGTTTAATGAGAGATATATACTTCCTACCAGTGTGCAATGAACAGGTTGAAGTGGCCAACAAGCTGCGATAATGGAAGGTTGCTCAAAACCTAGTGGATGATTGCTCAAAATCTAAATGCATGATTGGATGATCGAGTGTGACCCTTTACTAATAATACAGTCAACCTTTTCAGATTTACAGTTTTTTATTTACTAAAAAAAAACAAGGGTTTACAGTTTATTTTAATTATTGATGAATATATATTTAGGAGACTGATATTTGTCACACTCATCCGTGCATTCACAGGTTAATTACACTAACATCCCTGAAATTTATCGAGTTTGCATAAAATCTCCTCAAGTATGAGGCATTACACTAACACCCCCTCACGTTTTAATTCACTTTCACATAACCCATTCAGTCAATATTCTGCTAATAAATTGACAACTTTACCCTTGTAACTAATTAATTAAATAATAAAGAAATATATTAGAACAAGAAAATATTAAAAGTAAATTAATTAATTAAACATAAAAAAAATAAATTTAAAAACTTCTAAACTAGGACTGCTGCGTCTACCAATCGAGCAAGCCTTTTGCCTTAGATCGCAGCCATGTCTTCCAAGCAAGGTGGAATAGCAAAGCCCTTGGAGGCACCCGAGGCCGAGAAGAAGGAGTACGACGAGTCCGATTTGGCCAATCTTCAGAAGGAAAAAAATGAGGAAAAGGCACTGAAGGAGCTGGGGAGGGTTTAGGGATGAAGGTGGTGATGGTGGGACGATGGGAGGAAAAACTGCGGGTCGTGGAGCTAGGAGGGTTTAGGGTTTTCTCTCCTTTTTCTCTCAATTTTTTAATTTTTAATTTTTTTTAATGTTGAATTTGTTGTAGGCATAATTTACTAAACAATTATGGAGGCTATATGGAGAGAGAGGGTGCGGCATATAGAGAGAGATGAGAGAAATGTGTAATTGTGGGTGTGTTATTCCACCCCATTGTGCCTTTATTTATAGTAGTAGGAAAGGTTAATTCCTTACTCTTTAGGATTACAACATTTAATAGGTAATCTAGTCTTAATAGGAATATAAGATACATTCTCATATCTACTAGGATTTACACAATCACATTCCTATTCTAATAAGACGGCAACACTCCCCCTTGAGTGTGTAAATACTCAAGTAAATGGTGCATCAGGTCTTCAGTGATGAAGCAAGTACAGTTGATGAAGTTGTTGGCACAATGAGTAAATGCGAGTCTCAAATCAACGGAAGAATGCATAAAAAAATAAAACTCACAAAACCTTGCTATGGTAAAACCCAAGGTGGGGAAAAACCTATAGTCTAAGGAGAAACGTGAGAAGTTGCATTAAGTCAAAACTATACGTCTTTTAGACGCAAGTAGAAGAGCTCACAAGCGTATGATCAGCCCAGGATGGGTGCCTCGTTAAAACCTAGTTAGGTAGCAAAAACTCAGTGGGAAAATGCCCCTAATTGTAGGGGAAAAAATTATATTAAGATCAAGTGAGTATACTTCTGGATACTCCTCTTAAGTTTGACATAACTTCCAAATGAGAACTACAAGCATTTGCATATGAATAGTTAGGCATACCAATTCCACGGACAAGCTTTTGGAAGGTTGACTTCGGCAGTGACGTCGTGTAAAGGTCAACAAGGTTGTTTGGGATCAGCTTGCATGACTTCAATCTCCTGATGCTTTACTGATGTAGACGCAATATGTCTTGGTGTTGACTTTGTTGATGTATCATGGCTTGGTCGGGTGGATACATGCGGCAAAATCTTCATGGATCATTGTCGGGACTCAACGATAGATGAAAACACATCAAGTACTTCGAATGTGCTCAACAACAACTCCTAACCATGTCTCACTTGTGGCGCAATGAAGTGAGGTGAGTCTCGGAACGATTCGAAGATTTCACAACTAAGGTCATATCATGAACCTCTAAGATATTGCGATATCCCTAATGGTAAAGACATAACCATTTAGGGATTTTGTCTTGTGCGGGTTTGATAAGTTACTAGCATCAGCATAAAAAACAAGGCAAACATCATTCCGAGGATCAGGGGGGTTGGATTTGCTTGAGATGCATCGGGATTTGCCTATGTAGTACCTTCATGGTACGTCTTTAATACCAATTCAGTGGTTGCTTGTAGGCGTGGTGCTGCATTTTTACCAAGATCAGCAGCAAAGGAGATGTCCTATCTAAATACAATGAGCTAAGTACAATGAAGCGCAAAGTTGAACTTAGATATGGAATTTCGGATTCCATAACCTCTTCAAGGGTCTTATTTGCATATAACATATGGGCGATCAAAGGTATACTCAAAGGTGACACATTCATGGTGTAGTTCAACTGGTAGACCAAAATACCGTCAGAACAATGCTTTAACTTCATGTCAAGGCATAATTGAGTTTCCCAAGATCCTTCATCTCAAATTCCATCTTCAGGTGAGAGTCAGTTTTCTCAAGCTCTTCCAGAGTCTTAGTGAAATTTATGTTTAACGACATAAACTGTAACTCTAGCAATTCGGAATAAAACTTCATAGTTTAACATGCAAGGGCATAACTCATCCTTGACTGATCAAATAATCACGTAGACGGGTATACCACATCCGTCAGATTTTTCAATCCATAAGTGAACACCTCAAAATGAGGTAAGAGGGTGTTCCGTGGCTTGGAACAATTTGAACCAGTTCATGTAATTCTTCAGGAACTTACATGTAAATCTCTGTATCTATATCCCCATGGAGAAAACACTAACCACATTTCATAATGCTGCTATCAATCACATAACATTTGAGAGAAACCTTGCGCCATAACGCTTCCTTTCCCATTTGTAACACAACATGGTTACATTGGGCAGTGTAAGAACGACAGGTCCAAAACACACTTTGGTAAGGAATTTGACCTGGATTGTAACTTTAATTGTCTAATCAGTTCTACGTTGTCACTTAATCAATGGAACACAGTTCGATATCATTGCTTTTCATTTATGTCGGTAGCTACTATATAAGTGAAAACATCATCGATGGTAATCTTATTTCAATTCCATTTTCTCATCCAAACTAGTATATTGGACCAAGAACTTCTAGTCTCGAGAGTAATCCAGATTAATCTCATGAGATGGAAATGATTTGAGACAGCGATCAAGTTTAGATTCATTGCTGTGCCGTGTCTTCCTCTTCCAAGGAAGTGAATCTTACGAACCGAGTGATATGTCGTGCTCCAAGCCAAGACAAATTGATTGGCTATCCGTCGGTGTACTGGATCGTCCAACAGGGGTGTCCAAACCGTCCAACAAGGGCGGCACACCCTCTAGGGATGTTGACTCGACGTCCGTTAAGTACATCTATCCTTGCAGGCATGTTTGCAACTGGTATATGATCTCGTCACTTTAGCTAGATTAGAGGAATGTGTCTGGAGCAACATTCTGAAATCTAGAAGTCATCACACTTGCTTATCACACTTGTGTGGTATGAGGATCGAGATGAGACATAGTGGGCAATGTCCACGCAAATTCGGGCCATTCTCCAGGAACGTTGATGTTCTTATCTCCCCTTAATAGCGGGAAGACTGTCTCATTAAAGTGACAACCCGCAAATGAGCGGTAAAGAGATCGCGTGCAAGGGCTAGAAGATAGCTAGTGTGAAGGAGAATCATGATCAACAAAAGATACACATCATTCTTTAAGGACCCATGGTGGTATGTTGCGGTGGCGCAACTTGGCACATAGAATGCACACCTAAATGCGTAAACATGAAAATCCTCAGGTTTGTACCCAGTAACCAACTATAACATCATATAGGTTGGGTGGCAATGGGCCTCAAGGAGGACCAACATAACTGCGTACAAGGATTGCATAGCCCTAGGCAGAAACCGAAAACTTGGTACGTTTACCAAAATTCGAATGATTATTTAAAGGGAACTTTAACGAAAAGCACCTGGTACTGTTCACTTTAACGAAAAATCACATTTTTACACTAAAAAGTCAATCCTGGTACTATTCACTTTACCTTTTATTTTGTCCTTATCATTAAAACTCAAAGTTTTCAAGCCCTTTTCATTAGTTTTCCTTTATTTAAATTACACTTTATGATCACTAGGCGAGGCTATTTGGGGTGAATCATGGGAATTCGATGTTCAATTATAAACCCAAAATGACATGCAATTCTTTATCGAATTTGTCGATATAAACTCTCCGACATTATCCAGTCTCCTAGACCTTAAGGGATAAGTAGGGTGGTGAACCCTTAATCGACAATGAGGTTTAGCAGCAATGTGTGTGGACAAACATGTAACCAGTTTGTTGATTCATCAACCAAAATCATAAGTATTTATATGGTTCGCATTTTGGTTGGATAAGTCCATATATATTCCTTTGAATCCACTGTGAAAAGAGAGTTGTGTCATATCTTTGCGAGGAATGATATAGAAAATCAATTTCCCTAATGAGCATGCTCGGCAAAGTGTGTTTGTAAGCACAAGGTCCTTACTTCGGGTAAGGAGATGCGTTGTAGCATCATTGTTTGACCTAAGTGTCCCAAAAGGTCATGCCAAAGCAAGTAAACTGCTCAATCACCTAGCTCCAGGCCGGCCACATATGGCGTGTGCCCCAGTTGGGGGACAGCCCATTAGCCCCAAATTAAAGCTTCAAGCTCATTTTTGGAGGTGGTGCAAAGATATTTCACTTTATTTTCTTCAATGGTTTCATTTATGATCATTGTCATCTCAAATATCCTTAAAAACTCAAAGTCAGGGAGAATTTAAGGTCTCTTAAATGATGATTCAGTACCATTCATACAACGAGGAGGGTGCCATTGCTCTTAATCAGGTTGGATAGACTTAAAGTCGTTGTTAGAGATGTGATCTAGGTGTACAGTTAGTGTGCGTAGTACGCATTCATCCAGACAACTAACTTTCCCACATTCCTACATAATCACGTGGTTAATTGAATTAGGTCGCATGTATTAAGAAACATGATTCAATTAACTCATATTCGAGGACAATATCAATAAGATTATCCATAAGTAAAACATACACCAAACTTGAATCCAAGAACATAGAAAAATGTTCACAAAGTAAATGGTTTACTAAGGGGATTCGGCCAACAAGGTTATCCATGTCAAAATTCTGCTCTTCCAACGCTGTTCGGTGGAGCAAAATTAGTCTCACATATTGACTACTAGAATGGTACTCCTCAATGATATTGGTAGGGGTAGGGGTACGCACAGGTGCATAACCAATGATCTATTCCATCCATACGGAAGTAAATTCTGCAAGGGTTGAGATTTGGAAATATTATCCTTATTCTTGAAGTTTTAGGTCTTAGGTGCCAAGGATCACGTTTCGGGCATGATGCCACACCTTGGCAGGCCCTGATTCTACCATATGTTTGTGGTATTAATCAGATTCGAGAATGTGGTAAACTTTCGTTTTCTACACTGCTGCGTCATGGACTAGTTAGAAACATGGAAGGACAAGAAAAGTATTCTATAATCAAAATTTGATCGGATTTATTAACTTCATAATTGTACTCATTCATGGACGTAATCATGGTTTGCTTCATGCAATGTTTTTCATGATTAGACGGTCCATAGAAGCGAGCCAAAAAGCCATGGAATCCTCGTTCGGGAGGTATTTCCATTCGTAATGCTTCGAGCATAAGTTTTCGAATGAAGATCATGGCGAAGGCTTATTCAGCTATTCCATGCCCTTGTTAGCTTCATTGGTTTCTCAGCTTTTTGATAATCAAATGGAGATTCACGTCTTAT